ACAGTAGTTTCGCTACAGAAAATGGCGACCCGACTGCTCCTGCCAGGATCGCCATTTTCCCTGGGGAAGAACTCCATCATCCAAAAGTTATTCCTCATTAACCGATACAAAACATTTTCGACAAACAGTCTCCTCAAGTAAACGTTTACACGTAAGTTTCCTACATCGCCATTTTCCCTAAGGGAATCTCTCATTCTAGGATTAGTAGGGTAAATAAATTCCCGAAAAACTTCACCTGAAGAATACCCAATCGCGTGCCAATAAAAAGAGGACAAGGATGAAAAGAAAAATAAATACAGGACGGATATGTTTAACCCTCGAGCTAGAGACATTATTCTATACATTCTTTCTATGACGATATAATATATCATTCTGAATATAAACGCATCTGCGTTTTATCGTTTTGCAATTTTACACGAATATATCGTTCCCGAAGAAGACTACGAGCCCCGACTGGAGGATTTACATGTCATCGATAGAAGTTGAGCACGAAAAGACGTCGTTCCTCTCCCGTTTGACGATCGATCAACCGTTTATGAAGCAATTCTCCGATATGTTCAATTGTTCGAACCGACACGTTCCAATTTGTCGACGTCTTTCGTTCAGGATGATACATCGATACACAAGGACCCGTCTTTTCTTCCACTTATGTATGTACACGTGGACGAAACGTAGTTCGAGTAAACGCTAATGATATCCCTTTTACATTACATTTACATACATTAAAGCTGTATCTTTACGTGTATACGAATACACTCCTAACGTAAGTATGTACAGTGACGTTACACCTCTAGGGAACTAACCCTCACTGCTATTTGGGCCCGAGTTTTCCTGATTCGCATGCCACTTGTTCGTTCTTTTGATCGCTGATTCGATATGGAACTTTTTTCATCAGGGTTGTTGAAGAAGTTTCAGAAAGTGATTTTTCATCAATGCTTTCTCCTTCGATAGTTTACTTTCTTTCAACTTGCTTCGAGTTGATTCACTTCAGTTTGGAAGTTCAAGTGATGCCATTTGTCGGAAATTGAAGTTTTGGAAAGTGCTGGAGATTTAACTTTGGAACAACCGGATCCAAATTTTCGTTTTTATTTAAATAGTTTTAGAAATTATTCGGTTCTTACATTACTCAAGTTTCTATTATTCGTTATTCGTCGTATTAAATTTTTTTTATTTATTATTTATTGCATTCAATTTTTATTATTTGTCATTTATCAATCTTTATTATTTATTATTTACTGCTTTATCTTGCCCGAGTACATTTGTAAGGAATCAGTTTTACGTAAACAAAATATATTTCATGAAGAAATTATTAAATATTGAATCTCCATTTCAGGTAAATTTAATTTGAACGATGCACGAGAATTAATTAGCATTGATGCAAGTAATTAAAATGACGTGGAATATGTACGTCAATTTATTTTATGCGAACCATTTCAGTTCTAAAATTTATGACATATGAATACCAATATTTTGTAAAATGACTGACAATCATTTCACACCTCGTTGCAATTTATTTGTAAAATGTTTGTGTATTGTATTACTGTTTTTCAACTTTTTATTCTATACATCATTTTTTTAATGTTTAATAAAATGACTGATAAAACCATGTAATACTTCTGTTAAAATTTATTCAATAATTTAAATTGATCGGTTGTTCCAATGTTAAAATCCTAATCCTTAAAAGGGGGTCTTCTTGGTCTAACTAGCAAAATAAGAATCAATTTCACTTCCGAAAAGTTAATTACAAATCCATTAATTCCTCGTCCTCACAAATTAACTTCCTACAAAAATGATTAAAAAACAAATATACAACTAAAATCTCTTAATTTACTTGATTGAACACCATAAAAAATTAAATACATTAAAAAAATATAAGTATCTCAATCACGCGGTAAAAAATAGTTCCACAAAAATATCCCTAAAGAGATCCACTTAGCTTTCACTAATCCAATAAAAAGTAAATTTTCCAGTAATCGTATTTGTAAGATTATCACGCTTCAACAACGTTAACTCGACCTTTCTTTGTGGTTTACGAAAAATCTCGATGGATATTACCGGGGGATGCCGTTTTGCAAATTGAATTGAAGCAGCGACCAATCGAATCACGAGTGTCCGCCCAAAAACTTTCGAGGATGGAACTTTTATGAATGAATCAAATCGAAGAGATCGGACTGTCGGAAAAGAAGCGACTTTTGGCCTTTTCTTTTCTGGTCGAGGTTTCAAGAAAGCGAGTGTAAGCTTTCCTTCTCGCGGAAATCCGTTTCCGTCGCGCGACCGCGTCGAGATTAGGGCTTGGCGTAGCACGAAGACTTTCAACTTCAACTTCGCGGCACCTTATCGAAAGGAGATGTCGAATCTCTCGAACGGAAGAAACTTCGAACTCGACAATTGTGCGACAGTCGGCTGCGTTTATCGATTTTACGAGATACGGTTTAATATTTAGTAAGATAAAAATTATAGAAGCGAGTTAATTAGATGCTTGTGAACGACTTGAGGTACATTCTGGTGATTTTAACAGATTTCGAATTTTGTTGAGGGTGTATAATATTTTTAGTAGGGTTTCTTTGGAGGGAATATAGGGATATTTGTATTGAAAATATTGCTAATTAGGTGTAGTTTTAAATGGGCACATTTTTGAATTTTCTAATGTAAATTTGGAACTTTGTGCACTTTTATGAATTAATAATTTAGTAATTTGGTAACTTGGTAATTTTGAAATTTTGTAACTTGGTAATTCTGTAACTTGGTAATTTTGTAACTTTGTAATTTTATAACTTGGTGATTTTGTAATTTGGTAATTTTGTAACTTGGTAATTTTGTAATTTGACAATTTGGCAATTTGGTAACTTGATAATTTTGTAATTTTGTAACTTGGTAATTCTGTAACTTCGTTATTTTTCTGACTTGGTAATTTTGTAACTTGATAATTTTATAACTTGGTAATTTTGTAACTTGGTAATTTGGTAACTTGGTAATTCTGCAACTTGGTAATTTTGTAACTTGGTAATTCTGCAACTTGGTAATTCTGC